AGGTACCCCTTCTGTGAGCACCAGTCACTGGTGGAGGTACCCCTTCTGTGAGCACCAGTCACTGGTGGAGGTACCCCTTCTGTGAGCACCAGTAGGGCCTCACATTTACTTCATGGTAAATTTACATCTTGGGATTTATCTTTTGTATTTAATCAAACTATTCTACAATAGTTTGATTTTCACAAATTTTCTCCCCATACTGAACTGTAAATTCTTTAAGATAGTGAACTGGGTCTAGTTTATTACTGCATTTTTCCTACCTAGTATAAAATAGCATTCTATAATATTTGTTGATGAATAAATTAATGTTTTAAGGAACTATTATATACAGTACAAACATAATTAAAAAATTCTCAGACTTCTAATCATGTGCTACAACACTATCTATGGCTTCTGTTTAAAGGAGTACTTACAAACAATTGGGCTTTCCTGAGTCGTGGCCCAAACTCAACATCAGCAAAACAATACCCTTGTCTCTTAGTCTGCTTGGGCTGCCATAACAAAATAGTATAGATTGGGTGGTTTAAACAACAGAAATTTATTTCTCACAGTTCTAGAGGCTGAGAAGTCCAAGATCAAGGTGTTAACTGATTTGGTTTCTCTTCCTGGCTTGCAGATGGCCACCTTCTCTTTGTGTCCTCACATGGCAGAGAGAAAGAGGGGGTGGGATGGAGTTGAAAGTGACGGCTGGCTCTCTGGCATCTCTTCTTATGAGGACACTAATCCTATTGGATTAGGTACCTGCCCTGATGACCTCATTTAACCTTAATTACTTCCTAAAAGCCTTATCTCCAGATGCTGTCACATTGTGGATTAGGGCTTCAACATAATTGTTGGGAGTCACAGTTAGTCCATAGCACCTTTACCAGGGGAAAGGAGCAGAGTTTACTGCTCAGGGTCCCTGAACAATCTTTCTTCCTCTGTCTTAGCAAGGTTCCAGAAGGCCCGTTTCCTCATATGTGCATACTATAGCTATTATTAATATCTCTTTTTCTTTTTTTGCAGTTTTTGGCCAGGGCTGGGTTCGAACCCGCCACCTCCAGTATATGGGGCCAGTGCCCTAATCCTTTGAGCCGCAGGTGCCACCTGCTTTTATTAATATCTTAAGAATATCTCACTTCTTCAAATAGCATCTCACTTCTTGGTTTAGCTGTCTATATTGAAACTGGGGGAAAGAAAGAATCTAGGTTTATCAGTTTAGAACTTCCCCTGAGACTTACTAAAATGTCTTGTGAAATTTCTGTTATATTTGTGAAAGAAGAGAAGAAGGAAAAGGAAGATTTTTTTTTAATTTTTCAGAATTTTTTTCTATTCACTAAGACCCTTGATAATTTTATTTCTTGGGATTTGAGTACAATATAGATTTTCAAGTACATATCATGTAAATTTATCATTCTCCTGTCATTCATAAAGTGGCTCTTGGGAGGAGTAGCATGCTGGGCTCATAATTCCCAGGAATTACCTAGTAGTATAAATCAGAATAACATAAAAAGCTGATGATTTCATGCGCTAAAATACTTTTTTCAGTAGCATAAGGAAAGAGGCCACATCCTCCTAGGATAAAATACATTTTCATTATGGAATTAAACAGAGATATACTAACAGAACAAGATTACATTGCTCGACCTCTACATTTCCTGTTACTGATGATGAATTCTTTAAAAATTTAATAAGAATAACCATTGCTTTTATTCATTAAAACTTTAGGAAACAATTTGAAGAAATGGCCTCTTACTTTAACTCATCTTCTGTAAAGGAATTTGCTAAGCATATAACTAATGCCACATCAGAAGAACGACAGAAAATGCTAAGAGACTTTTATGCTTCTCGATATCCAGAGGTAGAAGAATTTTTTGTGGATTCCGCTTCAGAATTCATCAATTCTTCCTATCAGGAAGAAAAGACAATTAGAAAGAAATCTGAAAAAAGAGAATCTCTTATAAAAGAAGGGCTGTCAGATTCTGAAACTTTGTCATTTAAAGATTCTACCAACAGAATTTCTCAAATTTGTAGCCTAAGAGTATATAAAGGAAAATCAAATAAGTTTCAAAGTCATGGTTCCTGTAGAGAAGAGCTGTGTTCTAAAGAAGCAGAAACTAAGAAATCACCTATTAGTTCTACCCAAGAGATTGACAATGGAAAAAACAACAAGGCCTCCAAGGAGAGGATATCCTGTTCTCCCAACAGTAAGTCTGAAGCACATGAGAGAGAGTTAGAAAACACCAGGAAAGACCAACAGGACCTCACAAGAACAAGCATTTCAAGAAACACATCCCTTTTGAAATTGGAAAACAAAAAGATAGAAAATCCAGTATTAGAAAACACTTCTGTGCTAGGCTTACTCGGTGACACTTCTATTCTTGATGACCTCTTTAAAAGTCATGGGAACAGTGCCACACAACTACCAAAGAAAGTTCTTTCAGGGCCCATGGAAAAAGTAAAACAGAGACCAAAAGATTTCTGGGACATTTTGAATGAGCAGAATGATGACAGTCTTAGCAAACTCACCGACTTGACAGTAATAGAGACTTTGTGTGAAAAAACACCCTTCGCTACATCCTCCAAAAGGACAGATGAGCTACAAACTTCTCTTTGGAAATCAAATGAGAAATTTTTGTGGAAGAAATTTAACTCAAGTGATTCGGATGAAAACACAACCAATACACAGAGTGATACATAGCATGTAAGTGCATTACTACACCAATGAGCCATCACTGTTTACAGTACTCTGTTCTGCACTAATCATATGATCTTGAAGACAGTTGTCAACTTGTATTTTTTATTAAATTATTGCTTTAGAGTTTTTTTAAAGTCTAAGATATGAATTTGGGGTTTTTTGATATCTGATTTGATCTTTTAAAAATATGATTGCATTATGGTACAGACCTCTGTTATGAAATGGAAAATGGTCTAGATTTGTTATTAGGAGACCTGGGATGTCTCTTATCATAAATTATGCAACCTTAGATAAGTTACCTGCCCTGGTGTTCATCTTTTCCTAATATAAGAGAGGAATGGTTTCAACTAGATAAACATGTGTGCTTCAGTTTTAAAAAAGCTTTGGTTCACTCTTCCAAGTTCCCTTAGGTCATGGGCCAACTCCTGCCTATCCTCCAAATCAGGTACTCATTGATGTGTCTCTTTCTCATGAGCATTTGGAAAGCACTTAAGTATTTTCCTTTTTCCTCAATATCAAGTTCTATTATTACTAACTTATTTTAGATAAAAGTTATAACTAGTGCTGAATATATGATATTGCATTAAAATGGTTGATCTTTTTCTAACAGTTCAAAAGAAAACTATTATGATTTAATCAGTGTAAATAAACCTTTATATAATACTTTTGTATTTAAGTAGAAAAAATGAGTAAATATTTGATTTTATTTTGAAACTATTATATTTTGTTGGATTTATATAGTTTAAACTGGAATGTGCTTGTTGTTGAATTCATTTATTTAGAAGCACTCACTCAATTCCTATGTTCTATGCTATAAGCTTCAATTTTACAGGTGAGGTACAGCTAGAAGTAAAAGAAAGGAAATCATGTCTGTAAAGGATCATGTCTAAAGCCCTTGGCATAGTGCCTGCACATCGTAGGCAGAGACCTGAGGCTTCTACTGACCCAGGTTCCGATGCGCTGAACCTCAGTTAAGCTTTCAGGGCTATGATAGTAGGAAGTGTCCATCCTGAAAATAGCAGCAAGCCAGGAAATGGTTATACTCAGAGATCATTGCTGTTGTATTGAGGAGAGAGGACTTTGAAATCCCCAGGATGTGTGGTCTCCTTGCTTAGAAGGAAAAGAAACAAAAATCTTTTCTCAACAGACTGAAATCGCCAAGTATGTTTTTTCTTTAGAACATTGTTTTGCTTTAGAGAACTGTGAAATGTATTTTATATCATGACAGAGTATATGTGTTCATACGTCTACATGATTGAAATAAAATGTTTATGAAATCATATTTACACTGAAGGCATGTCATACACTTTGACAGTTTGCTCTTCTAGGATCATGTGTGTGTTTTAATGCTCTCATATCCCACTAATCGATTTCATGGCCCACTGAAGATCTGGAACCACAGTGTGAAAAACACCACTTTAGCTGACAAAGAGTCATTTTTTGCTCCTTGTAGCTCAGTTGTGAGATGCTACACTTTGCCACTGAGGTGCTTTCTATACAATGATGGCAAGATATAGTCTGTGGCAGACCTGACTTAGGGATGTTTTTAGCCTCCTGTGTGAGCTATATGAAGAGCTCTGTTCAGTAAATGGATAACACTTCATTTCAGTTTGTATACTCGACAATATAGTTCAGATTTTTTTTTGGCCAGGGCTGGGTTTGAACCTGCCACCTCTGGCATATCGCGCCTACCTCCTTTGAGCCACAGGTGGTGCCCTATATTTCAGACATTTTAATAAAAGTATATCTTCCATAAAATAGCTTTTAATTTTTTTAGGTAATCATAAAATGATATGTATATAAATATTAGCTCTATACTCTCCAAATATAAATAAATCAAGGAAACTGTTATCAGTGATAAAGAAACTTTTATCAGTGGTAGTCAAAATGGGAGCAATTACAAACCTAGAGTTTAAAACTGAATTTTCAACAGTTGTCCATGAAACATTTATTACTATCGTGCAAGAGCAGTGTGCTGGGAAGAACACAGAGTTGGGTATGAAAAGGAGGCAGTCATGGAGTGGTGGAAAGATTTGGTTCAACCCTTGATCAGACACTGGAAGTCTGGCAATAAGAGGCCTTCCTACTCCCACCCCACTGATGGTATGTCACCAAGTTCTGCCAACTAAATGGGTGGCCTTAGGCAAATCCCATACCTTCCATCAGCCTGGGTTTTCCCTTTAAATTAGAGATGGACTGATTGATGGTGTTCAGGCATTTTTTTTTTTAAGCAACTGGTCTGTATCTAAATCAGAAACTCAGTTATTAAAGTAATTAAAATAGAAGTTTGGTTGGTTCAAGCAGCACCTCTGTGGCTTTGTGGAGCACTAGTTTGAAACCACAGGGATGAGATCATTGCTAAGAAACCTTCCAACTTCAAGTTTCCATGATTGTACTTGCCACAATTTGTCTTTTTTACTTCTTCTTAAAGCAATGATACAGTTTCTGGCTGGTAGCACTCACAGCTATTAATTTTGGAAACTGAGGCAAGACACCAAGAGACTTTTGTCCTTAACTTCCTGAGGGTTCTCTTAAAGCCCCCCAAACTATCTCTTCAAGGAAATTAACAGCATCTGGAAGTGGTGCAGCTGCCCGTTAGTACTCAGGGCAAAAAAGCTTAGTTTGCAGAGAGGAGTTGATGACAAACTTTTCATCAGTCCACAGAAAATGAGAAATCCACTGGAAATATAGGGTTGTTTTCTTTGCTTTTTAGACAGGGGCCCACTATATTGTCCAGGCTGGTCTTGAATTCCTGGCCTCAAGCCTTCTGAGTAGTTGGAGTTATAGATATGAGCCATCACATCCAGATTTTGTTTCTTAATTAAAGTTCAATGTGTTCAATTTTTAAATCCTTAAGTTATCCTTCCTTTCTAATGTCAAAATAGCCCTCCTTCATGAAATGACAGTAGATCATAGCATTTAGTCTTTTTCATTGTCCTTACTTGATATGAAAGTTGGTAACCATATGTCAGTCCCAAAAGTTTTATTAGACATTTACTGGTCTATAAAATCCAAAAGAATGGGGTTCATTGCCTGCTTCTAAGGTCAGTTTTTTTTTTTTTTTTACCTATAAGGAAATAGAGTCTATAGGTCATTATGTCACAAACCCAGTTAACAGTGGACCTAAGACTCAACAAGGACATCATTGAACCTATACAATTGGATGACAAACATACACCTCCAAAGAGCCAAGAGCACAGATTGACTTACATCTCATTTAATTATCACTGATGTGTCCTTATTCCTGGTTCCACCTACTTCATTTTGCAAAGCATCCTCTGCCCAGTGATTCTGGGAGGACTTACAGGGGTGGTTCATAAGCCACTTGGGTGACAGCCCCTGTGCTCTGTAACATGTGGGGCTATCTCTACCTGGTGTTATATGGCATTCAGGAGGAACATCTCACTTTTTCTTTGCAAAAGGACAACCCCAGGAGGACTGCCTTGCCTCATAGGATCTTCTAGGATTTTACCCATGAAAATAGGGCTTGTGGTATTTATTTTCTGCCCCTAGGACAAGAGACACAAATTCACCTTTCCTTCCAAAGTCCAACCCTATGTGGTTCCCAACTCCAAGGGTGGCTAGTCAGAACCAACCCCTCAAGCCCAAGGTTGCTATGAGCTGTGACATCAGGGCACTCTAAAAATAAAAATAAAAATGAACTGAGACTTTTAAACACGTATCTCTGTGTTTAAATTCTCCCCAGGAGATTCTGATTCGGGAGGTCTGGGGTTCAGCACAGGCACCCTTTTTATTTTTAAAGTTTCACAATAATTCTGATATGGTGATCCTTTCAGGTTTGTTACTGGGCAGGACTCACTGGGACATGCTATTCCCAGAGAGGTGCTTCAGTTGCCCTCCCCCAGACCCTGTGTGAAACTAGGGGACATGCACCTGAGCTCCTGATGGACCCCACTCTATACTTTCTTTTTAGGCCCCAAAGTTGTTTTTATGTCCCTATAAAAATATCCACACATATTTGTACACCATGTTCACAGCAGCATTATTCACAATACCTAAAACATGAAAGCAATCCAAGTGTCCATCACTAGAAGAATAGATAAACAAAATAGCTTATCTTGGAAAAGAAGGAAACTCCAACTCTGCTACAACATAGATGAACCTGGAGGACATTATCCAAAGTGAAATAAGCTAGACACAGAAGGACAACTGTTGTATGATTCCTCTTACATGAGGTAGGTAGATTAGTCAGGTATATGGAGACGAAGCAGAAGGGTGGTTGCCAGAAGCTAGAGGGAAGGGGAAATGGGGAGTTACCATTTAATAGTTACAGAGTTTCAGTTTTGCAAGATTTAAAAGAGTTCTGGAGATGGGTGGTGATGATGGTTGTCCAACAATCTGCACTTACTTGTTAACACTGAACTGTAGACTTAAAGCTGGTTACAATGATAAACCTTATGTTTCATATGTACTTTACCACAATAAAAAAATGGGAAAAAAGTATGATCAAAAGAAACTCCTCACCAAAATGTGCTATATGCCAAATTTTGATATATGTGAGATCATTGTTGACTTTATATTAATTTCACTATAAACCTCAATTTTATTTGGCTTTTAAGTTACTGTTTTGTATAAGACTTTATCTTGAAAAAAGCTTCCACTCATTATGAAAAGATTAGGGGAAAAATCCACACACAGCATTGTTTTCTAATTATATACTTTGTCAATATGTATTTTATTTGCTTTGCCGCAGCTTAACAAATTATGGTGGTTATATTCACTCCCTGAATCTCTAAATTTTTGACTAGTCTGAATGATATCAATATGCTCTTTTTCTATCACTGACACAGATGATTCTCAGTTAACATTTTTGGTTTTTTACCTTGTTCTCGTAAATAAAAATCAAGAATTCCTCTTTGTACACCTGTCTTTTTGGTTAGCTAAATGGGCCCTCAATCTCATTGAAAAAAAAAATAACTACAATTCACTGTATATGGCTTCAGTTTATCTGAGGGGGAGGGAGTGTGTATCTCTGAATTTTTTATGTTTCTAAGGAAACTCTAGTGACTTGTTGAACTAACCTATGAATTATTGACCTCCCCCCATCATGTCTTAACTTTGGATTTTCTTTTTTTTGTAAAGTAATACATGCTTCTGGACTGAAAGATAAAACCTTCA